AATATGAATTGCGATAAAAGAAGCTTTTTTATACATTTGGTATTTGCATACATAGACAATTCGAAAATAAAATTTATTTCAGTTTAATGAGATATTATTCAATTTAACAAGTATCTACTTTGATTCGTTCGAAAGATAGTGTGATTACAAAAAAATGCACGTGTTTTATTACTTGGGACCTTGACAACTCACAACCATCAAAATATGATTTTTGCTGCTCATTCAGCTAAAATCAAAATAGCAACCGAAATCAGAGCTATATATATATATATATATATATATATATATATATATATATATATATATATATATATATATATATATATATATATATATATATATATAATACGAAATGGATATTATATGTGTGACTATACCGCAGTGCCTTTAAAGAGATGAGATGACTATATGAGGGCCATAACAAACAGTAAATTTATGTCATCGAAGAACCTGAAATGTTACAATACTAAATTTATTTTATAATCTTTCTCAAATTATCAAATTATCTAAAATTTGCAGAGACCGATATATGGAGACTATGACTAACGTACACCGACCAGGCAGGTAATTTATAGACATTTTTCGAACGTTCCTAACTCATTTCCATAATTTTCCTCCCCTGCTGACCATCCCCATACGGAAGGATCGCGTACACATCATGAACCTCACCATGATGGATTATCAGTAAGCGTTAATTCCAGCTACAGAAAATAACTTCATCAGCCGGTTAAAAACACAATTATCTAAATAAACTCTGTTAATAATTTAAAAACAAAATATATAGATTTTATTGTATCAATATTCATACCAAAATCTACGTTAGAATATAAATAATTCAAATAAACACTCATGTTACTGACGGGGTCACCCATCGCATAGTTAGATAGAGCGATGTAAGTTAGTATTTAAAAACTGATGATATCTACTAGTTCTAAAGGGGACACTTTTTCTAATAGATGAAATAAGAAAATCAGATGTTACTGTGTCATTTCGGATTCTGTACGGATTCGATTTTATCGGAATAGAGAGTATATGGAGGATCCCACACAGAGGAACTGTTTAAAAATCCTAAAACACCGGATGCTTTATTTGCCATAGAAATAATATGATTATTAAAATTTAAATTGGGGTCCATCAAAAGCCCCAGATCAGTGAAGGAATCTGCTGTTGATAACATAATCACTTACACTTTAATGATTTAATATAGAGTTAGATCTAAAAAAATATATCCTTACATTTTTTAAATTCAACTCTGTGGCATTGTGAAGACACCAAATTAAAAAGGCTACTGTAATTAATTTTTCAAATAACTTTTGAATGGCACATCACTTTGCAATAATTGAAAACGTCTCATAAAGTGCTCGATTTATGTAGAGGCACCAACAACGGTTTCGAATCAGAAGGGAAATTATTAAATTTTATATGAATAATATACAATTATTTTGTTATAGGGACTGACAAGTAATAAAAAGTATAATTACTTCAGGAATTTCTGGACTTTGGACTACATTGGATTAAATATTAATTTTTTTTCACTGCATTAGGATAATCTTATACCTTGAGTAATTAGCATAGTCTATGCCAGACCCAGATTTCTTATATTTTCGAAAAAGTTTTTGAAGTTTCGAAAGCGTGGAATATCAAAAATGTATATAGCCTATGTTACTTTCAGGCGATGTTGTAGTACACTGGGAAAATCTGTTCAGCTTTTTTCGAGTCCATAAATTACAAACAAACATGCAAAAAATTTCCTCTTTTATAGATATACAGGGTTGTCCATATTCGCCGGACCTTTGGGCCCATTCCAATCGACGAGGCTTGTCCGCAGGCAACATTCTTTGCGTCAATTGAATTTTGTACGGGAACAAATGCAAATCAATGCGACTTTTATATGGCCTCTCAAAACCAGTCGAAAATTGTTCGTATAACCGCTGAAGGGTGTTCTTTATAGATATATATATATATATATATATATATATATATATATATATATATATATATATATATATATATATATATATATATATATATATATATATATATATATATATATATATATATATATATATATATATATATATATATATATATATATATATATATATATATATATATATAGAACACCCTTCAGCGGTTATACGAACAATTTTCGACTGGTTTCGAGAGGCCATATAAAAGTCGCATTGATTTGCATTTGTTCCCGTACAAAATTCAATTGACGCAAAGAATGTTGCCTGCGGACAAGCCTCGTCGATTGGAATGGGCCCAAAGGTCCGTCGAATATGGACAACCCTGTATATCTATAAAAGAGGAAATTTTTTGCATGTTTGTTTGTAATTTATGGACTCGAAAAAAGCTGAACAGATTTTCCCAGTGTACTACAACATCGCCTGAAAGTAACATAGGCTATATACATTTTTGATATTCCACGCTTTCGAAACTTCAAAAACTTTTTCGAAAATATAAGAAATCTGGGTCTGGCATAGACTATGCTAATTACTCAAGGTATAAGATTATCCTAATGCAGTGAAAAAATTAATATTTAATCCAATGTAGTCCAAAGTCCAGAAATTCCTGAAGTAATTATACTTTTTATTACTTGTCAGTATATATATATATATATATATATATATATATATATATATATATATATATATATATATATATATATATATATATATATATATGTATATATATATATATATATATATATATATATACGGCCGTTTTGGTACGGCCTCATACACTTTGTTTTTTTTAAGTTTAAAATGTATCAATACTCAGAGGATGAGGCTATTTCGATTTTAGGAAAACATTCATACTGTGAATTCAAGTTCATTAATATTATTGCTACAACATAAAATTTTATATCTAAAAAATAAATTAGTGAATTTAGGCAATGAAAATTAGTTCGTTTGTAATCAAAATTTCTTTCTCTTGTTGCGTTGAGCTTTTCGAAGTGTTGAGATACCAAATGCTAAATTCAGAATTTGTCAGTATTATTTTTTTTCTATACTATTTATTTTATGAAGGTCCAAGGCGCTAAAGCGATTCGTAACATCAAGTGAGAAATGGTTTAGAATTCCCAGATGGGGTTAAAAGAGCCAACAATTCTTAGTCTGGGAAGAGACATTTAATGGATGGCAAGTTAAAATCACCAATGACCAAAATATAATCAATAACATTCATTTTCTGAACTATAGATGATATTGCTGAAATATGGCGATAATATAAGGCAACTTCTGACTATGGATGATATATATTAGCATGAGACAAATAGTTTACATTTTCCTAAATCGACAATTATGCTAATAAATTCTATATCATTAAAATCTTTTAGCTCAAAATCTATTGGAGCGATATGTTGCATCAACAGCAATAAAAACTCCCCAACCTTGTTTATTTATACGATCTTTGCGATGTATTTGATATATTGGACATAACATTTCAGTATCAAATATAGATGGCTTTCACCATGTTTCGAAAAGTGATAAAATGTTGTAATCAAAGGCAAAACTATCAGTGTATAGACGAGATAATTTAGATTTTATCCACCTTACATTTCTGAATAGTATGCTTGAAATCCAATTTTTTTTGTTGGACCCTCGGAAATGGTCGCAGAAGGCATTTCAGGCTGGCCGGAAACTGAATATTAGAGGTAATACGGTCGGAAACACAAGAAACCTAGGGACAGAAACACGAAAAATGACGAGAGCCAGCTGTCCGCAGGCCATTACAATTTAATACCCTTCCAAATGTATGCTATTTTGTCAATAGGAAAAAAATTAAATAATAGTGGTTAATAGCATACAACTAGCATCCGATTTAGATGAGTCTTATTGCTATTATATTGTGAAACAAAATCCATATTAGAATTAAAGAATAAAACAAAATATAATAAAATGTGTCCATCACACTTTCATCTCAATCGGATGTTGGTAGATTTCGATCTCATCCAACATTCGCTTGTATATTGCATAATTGTATACAGGCTTTGGATGAGTCGCACCTACATTGTCAGTGGTCTCAGTTAGAAGATGTATGTGCAAAAAAATCCGCTGGGAACCTTCAAATTGCAGAAAATATACACTACCAAGGAAACTTTATTGCTCAAAATTTCATTCACTTATCATTCATCGTGAGCCCCAAAACACTACAACAATAACCCACAGAACAAAAAAAAAAAAAATAAATTATCTTATACCACAAACCGAAACATTTCAATAATTTATTTAGGTTCCAATAAATTAGCTGAACGAAATACACGTTTTTTTGTGTGTTTTTAGTATTTTTTTCTGTTCCATAACAGTTGTAAAATCAGCGTTGTACCATAACCAAGTAATAAATTATAGACGAAGATAAAACTCAGAATATATCTTCAAGGTTTTGTTGCATATTTTTGTAGTGCCAGATTAAAAAGAAATGTTAAAATGTTTACAAATGTATATTTATTGCCATTCTAAAATTAGCAGCGCGGCTTTCTAAATCAATTAGAACATAAACAGTGAGAGCAATTCTATTAAATAACTACGAAAAACTGTTTATGGCCAATCTTTACCCATGTTACGATGAATTAAAAATTGAAGAGTAATTTCAATAGGTGCCGCCTTGTGAACCCTAGTTTTCGAGAGTTTATTTTTATTGGTCTTTAATTCTAAATATTAAATTATGTGTAAATTATTGCGCTGCATTATTGATATTCATATTTCAAGGAATTAATGGATCGTTTTATAACACAATTTGTTGACCAGTTTATCGTCCATAATTATATCTAACAATTTTCATTATGAGGCATGTCTCATAATCTAAAAAGTAAGAAACCATTGTTCAAAACCATACTTGTTGTCTCAGACGAATATTTTAGGTTTTGTCAACGGAATAACCAGTTGAATCACATTCATATTATATTTCGAGTTCACCCATATCTTATGCACAGAACATGCTTAAAATATTTTAAAACGTCCTGTTTGTAAAACTAAGACTTACTTATTTCTTTGCAGATTATTATTCCTTCATCTACTAAGAAATATATGAGTGATAAGATACCGTACATTTTTAGACAAAACAGTGATTTTTACTATCTGTCAGGATGTTTAGAGCCGGATACGATTCTTGCGATGTACATCGACGAAACAGGAAATACAAAATCTTTGATGTTTATGAGGCCGAAAGACAAACATGTAGAGCTGTGGGAGGGACCAAGAACTGGAGTGGATATGGCTGTTGAATTATTTGGGTTGGATGAGGCATACCCCGTTGACTCATATGAAAATGAGCTGAAAAGGCACATAGAATTTAAAAAGCCTCTAATTTGGTTCGATGCAAAGTCATGTGAATTACAAAACATTGGAGAGATTACTAAAAAAAGCTCAAGTTCCTTATTCGTAGAGTCGCCTTCTGCTATAATACAAGGAATGAGACTTTTTAAGTCTCCCTCAGAACAGCATTTAATGAGAAGAACATGTGAAATAGCATCTCATTCAATTAATGAAGTAATGAGTGAATCTCGGCCGGGTCATTCAGAACACCATATTTTCGCAATGATTGACTTCAAATGTAGAATGCGAAATGCTAATTATTTGGCCTATCCACCCGTTGTTGCTAGTGGGAACAACGCAACAACAATACATTATATAAATAACACCCAACTATTGAAGTCGAATGACTTGTTGTTGATGGACGCCGGTTGTGAATATGCAGGGTAAGCATGTCTTTGTGTCATACTATTACATGGGGAGGATACATAACGTTTGTTTTGAACGGGAACAGTCTTCTTACTAAAAGGCAAAAATTGTAAAAGCAGTAAGTAGGTTGTAGTTTCTGGGAAAAAGCCGTTGATGGGGCACGATAGTATACATATTAACACCAAGGTAAAGAAACTTCGTAAATAATTATCTTTACAAGAGATGTGTTATTCCATGTTATTCAAAGGAAAAAAAATTAAATAAGCTTGATACATTTTCTTATTCATTTTAAAATTCACATTTGTATTTGAATTACGTTTTTCGATCTTAAAATAACATAGACCAATCAATGCGTCCCCACGACACGATTCGTAATTAATAGCACCATAATTCCATTTTTCTCCTTTTTGTTTCTTGTTTTTATGGGAATTCGAACGATAATACATGAAATACGCACTAATATGAGCCGAAGATAATAATATTTTTTACAAAGATTGATTGCATCCTTATTTGCAGATTTATTGTATTACTAATTTTATTAATTTTTCATAAATGTGATGTCACAATTATTTTTGTCGATTCCCAAATTTATGACTTTTGTTTCCCGGTTTCTGAAGAAATTCAAAGTCGTGGATAAGAAGCTTGTTTCAGATGAGACACAAAAATTAACTTAATACACTATTGAATAATTTACTTTTCATTGCATTGTTTAAAATTCGACGTAGCGTAAACAAATATTTCATTTCCCCACTATGATTAAATGTATTGTACGTCTGTATTTCCCAAATACAAAATTTACCACACACAAAACAATTGTACAACTTTGAAATTCCTACCTTCGTCGTAAGTCGGTAAAGTTGGATGGGGGACGTCGAATTTTAGGTAACGCTGTCATTCATAATACCTCATTTTAGTTCTAAGAGTGATTTGAATTGAACACAGAACGAAAATCGTGTTCGTATATATATATTTATGTCGTGACTTAACTAGGTGGATTATAGACTGGAAACATTGTTAATTTGTATATATATATGTATATATATATGTATATATATATATATATATATATATATATATATATATATATATATTTTTTTTTTTTTTTTTTTTTTTTTTTTTTTTCAATGTGAACCATTATTATGTTTTTTTATATTTTTGGTCATTATAGTTTCAGCAATAATTTAGATATTAGAATAGTAACTCACATAGATATAAAACAGTACAGGAGAGGAGGACTTTGATAGCTTCATCAAAAAAGCAAGGATGTTTCCCACCAACGGAATGCCAGAATTTCGTTCATTGTTTGCGAATGAAATTATATTTCAATGATGTATCTACCGACAAATCAATGAGCTATTCACTCGCTTTTTTCGACACATTAGTTGATAGCTGATCCAGAAATGTGTTACATATCCAATTCGAATTTTACTCGAGAGTTTCAAAAAGTGTCTCAAAACAATGATATTTTAACAACTCTTTCACAAAAGTCGCTTTTTTATGACACAAGTTAAGTTCCTTTAATTCCGAAAAATATTGGAGAAATGTGTTATTTTAAGCACGAATTCTTCATTATGTAGATGTTCAATACATTGGGATTTTTCTGATGAGTAGATTGATATTTTATGTCGTACTTCCGCAAATCGTCTCAGCACATTTTCTCTGGATAACCTATGTTATCGGTATGATGAAGAAGAAATGTATAAGCACCACCCGTTTCTTCACACAACTTCTGAAACATACGTGTTGGTAAATGCTTTGTTTTGATGAAATTTACAATTTTTACGGCTGTATTTAGCATATTTTTAAATCTTCCGGTAGTGCTTTTGAATCCTGTGATACTACAAGTGTTCCACAAAGTACAGGGACTTTTTAAACAACTCTTGTAACCACACTGATCTCCTTCAGTACATTTACCAACATAGTTCTTTAATTTCAATCCTCTTCCTTCAGAATGAATTGTACTGATTTTTTTTGCTCGTTCCCCGACTTATTGGCCCTCAGGACAAAATATCTTCATCTTTTTGTTTTTTCCAGAATTTAAACATAGTTTTAACTTGTAAAGAAAAGAAAGTGAAGAAAGTGCATATGTATTTATATGCGCTTTCTTGACTTTCTTATGAACAAATGAATACAAAAGAATACTAGTAGATAAAACAATGTAGTGTTAGTGTTTTTTGGTAGCAGGGTGATTATCGTAACTCGCTACTTACGAAAAAGTAGGCTAATATTTCACATTCAAAACATAAGCCTTATTTGAATGTTAGTGTAGACATTTTAAACTACAGAGATAGTATTTGCGCTTTTGGTTGTGTGTAACTAAAGAAAGATCTAATGTTCTAAGGGATATAACATCTCGATCAAAAATAATATGTCCACGTCTTATCGTGTAATGGCACAACTCATTTATTAGCACGCAAAAGGCTGAAGTTTTCCAACTAAAGGAGCAAAAATGTTATATATAGTGAACTAGTGGTCCTAGAATCAGAACATTACGGAGCATTTAGACTCGAATGTGTTCGAAGCGGTACATAATCGTTTAATATTTATTTATTCATACCAAACACAATTTCTTAAAATATTGTTTAAAAAAATATTTTATGAAGTTTCAAACAAAAGTAATTATTTTGTTCAAAAATGTAAATTGGAATGGGAACAACATTTCGTAATTGAATTGACTTAACGTCGAATGCGGTAATTCACAAACAATTTCGGCACAAATCCATCCCCATAAAATTATCTTGTAAATGGGTGCAACCCGCGAAATCTTCATATACTGTGAATTCATCTTATTTGATTTGCACAGATTTTGTGAAACTTCGTATGAAGACTAATGAGTATCATTATCTGAATTATAGTAAAAATTGATTACAGGGAAAATCTGAATCGATATAAACCTATTTCAATACGATCCATCAAAATTCGTTGATGTAGCAGCACTCATTATTTTTCCAATTTTTTATCAGGAAAAATCTTTACATTTTGTAACAAAATTAAACTAAACAATTAAAAAAACAGTAAGTTCGGCCGGGCCAAACTTTGAATACCCTCCACCATTTGGAACGAATTAGAAAATTGCCAAAAAAAAAAAAAAAAAAAAATAAAATCCATTAAAAATTCTTTTAAAATCTTTAAAATACCTAATATCGGAAGGTGCCGATACATGAGGGGATATACAATATTGTAGACCCATATAGGCAATTCTCTTCCAGGGGGTAAAGTACTCACAAAGAACTTCTTGTGTAGAATCCCGTTGAAAAATGTGTCTAAAATCATCAAAATACCGAATATCGGAAGGTACCTTTATATGGGAGCTATACGATATCGTGATAATTATCTTTTAAGGGATAAAGTACTCAAAAAGAACTCCTTGTGTAGAATTTCAGACAATTCCGTTGAAAATATGGCTAAAATCATCAAAATACCGAATATTGGGAGGTACCATTATATGGGGGCTTTACGATATCGTAGACCTATATAGAAAATTCTCTTTCAGGGTGTAAAGTGCTCACAAAGAACTCCTTGTGTAGAATTTCAGACAGTTCAAAATAACGAATAGCAGGGGGGTAACGTTATATGGGGGCTATACGATATCGTAGACCGATATAGCCCATCTTCGAACTTGACCCGCCTGCAGACAAAAGAGAGATCTGTGCAAAATTTTAGCTTCATATCTGAATTCGTTTTGATTGTAGCGTGATTACAACAGACGGACGGACAAGGCTAAATCGTCTTAGAATTCTACACTGATCATTGTTGGGTCTAAAATGATTATTTCGATTAGTTACCAACGGAATGACGAACTTAATATACCCTCCATACTATGTATGGTGGAGGGTATAAAAATGTGTATACCTAACGTACATTAAAGGAGGAAATTCAAACAAAAAACGTTGTACCGAATTTCAAATTTCCCACGAAAGCATTTGCCCCCACTAATTATTTTGCATTTCAGCAATTTATATATTGATTTTTCAACACATGGGAGTTTTGGTGATAATATGCCGAAAAAGATTTTTGATAACATTCCCGTAATGTTTTGATTGTAGTAGTTCAACAATCTTCCTTTTTTATTTATTTACTTAATGCTGCAATTTAAAAGCCATTTGACCAATGAGTATCACAAATAGCGGAAATATATTTTAACTTCTGTTATGATTATTCAAATTGTTCACCCTATATGCAGTAGATAACATAAAAATATTGGCATGTACAAAATTACAAAAAATCGGTTATATATCCAATATTATGCGAAATCATAAATTCCAGATTTATCCCATGTTTCTGGTTGAGAAAAAATATTTAGATATAGCGAGTTGTAAAGAAGTATTAAAAATTTTGATTATTTGTGGGTTAGCTACCCGAAGGGATTCACAGTAATAGGGCTCTTCAAAACAGATCTTGTGTTAGCAAAAATGCTTATATGTATGAAATTTAAAGAAAGTTGGATCCTTTTTTTTCGATTACTTTGAGCGTTTTGTTTTTCAAAATCTTGAACCCTATGTGGGGCAGGTAGCAACATAAATGGTCCGATCTCTACCATTTTTATAAAAGATCTTTTGTTGATGGAAATATTGAGATGTACCAAGCCTTAAATGGAATCGGATGTTAAATTCATGTTTTATGAGCTTAATGAATTTTCAAAATTTTGGACCCTTTGCGGGGGAGGTATATTTTGATGTGTGTAATTTGAAGACAATCGTACACTTATATCACATTTTATAAGAGTTATAATTATTCAAAACTTTGACCCTTGATGTAAATATTAGGATTTCCAAAGTTGGAGCAAAATCGGATTATCCTTTCTCTTTCTGTGCAAAAAACTATTTTCTTTGAAAATTTTGATATTTTGTGGGGGAGGCATCATAGGGAGTGGACCGATATTGCCCATCTCCGAGCTCGATCTAAGTTTGACGATGGTTCGAACGAGAGAACACAAGTCAATTTCGCTGAAAACCGAAATGAAATGAAACCACACGTTTTTTAAAAAAGTAGGGAATGACATTCCTAGACTGAGGACTGTATCTGCAACTTAACTTAAAATGTTAGATTATATATATTATATCACAACATATTTATAAATATAGATGACGGCAAAAATAAAAATACTACATTTTAACAAAAACATTTGATTTTCATTATTTGTTACATTTGCTCCAGAACTTATTTACCTTGCCTGAAACTACGTCACGAACATGATCTGTCTTTCTAACAGCAAGATACAACGTGATTATTCTTTTACGATCAATACATAACAACAACTTTCCGGTGTAGTTCAATTTTATTGTGAACAATTTGTCGATGTAATGTATATGCATCCTACTTAGTTTACAACGCGACTTAACGTCCACCTCATGATGCATTACGTCCACACTATTCAATTATGTTTTTTTTAACTTGGCGTGTCTAAAATGATCGGTATTAGCCATGTCGATCAACATCTAGGTATAGCCCTCTTATAAAGGTATCTATTGATTTCCGATATTTTGAAGGTTTCAGCGGTAACTTACATTTCGGTAGCTATAATATATTATAGCTATATATTACTTGCCTAAGTCCACGTATACCGCGTAGTTTTTAAGAAAAGTATTTTTATAATGATAGCACAATAATTGTTTTGTATACACATACAGGTACACGAGTGATATAACGAGGACATGGCCAGTAAGTGGTGAATTCACAGAGTCCCAAAAAATTTTGTATGATGTTGTCTTGCAGCTACAGAAAGAGTTAATTGGTAAGTGCAAAATGTTAAATGTTATATGTTTATGTTTTAGATGCAGTGTAAAACGTGCACATTTGAAGATGTGAAATGATTCATCAATTAGGATCCTTCCTTCTTTTTATGAGATTTATAATCTCATTTAAGTCCTAAATTTGACCTAAAAGTAGTTTGATATAAACGTAAATTCGGGAAAGAAACAAAGGACCAGGGGCCGTCAACCCAGAAAATACATGTTCGTGTCCATCCGATTTTCTGCTGTGGAGCAACACTACTCGGAATGTTTGCTCCGTATTCTCTTGGTCCGAGCCGGACCATAGTTCTGCTCCGTTTGTCATAATCACATCCACCAAAGGTCGGTCTCGTTAAGATGCAACAGATGCATGGGGCGGCTGCATTTCCGGAATTGTTCCGACTTAAAACCGGATACAGGAGTACAGCGATATGGACTACATTGCTTCCTGCTGCGTAAATGTAGACCACAGTGAGTCATCATCTGCGTCGTCCACGTCGTACGACGTCTACATTGGCGTCGCAGTACGAAATCCTCCAACAATCTCCACAACAGCAATTCATGCAGCAGTTGAACCTACGTTGCATTGTAAGATCAACGAAATTGTAAGCTTCATGAGTCGGAAGAATATCAAGGTCGCTGCGATGCAGAAAACGAAGTTGAGTACCACCTACAGGCTTCAAAATTGTGATAAATACGACATATTGGGGAAGGATGGCACCAGAGGATTAGCGTTCCTATTGCACCACTCTGTCCAGTACAGACTAAGCTTGCCTGAGCTTCACTCTAGTGACCCGTAAATGGAATGTATGGGTGGGGGGTCAAGTGCGGAACCGCCGAGGTAGAGGTACCTAACGTGTACATCCAGCCATTAAATATGCCCAATATCAGTTCACTTATGGAAGGCAATAACCGTCTGGCGATAAGAGAATTCAATGCCCATCACGAATTATGGCATTCCGTCCTAGGTAACGATCAGAGGGGCATGGTGCTGGCTGAGCAAATTGATAGCTCCACGGATTCCACAGTGAATTAAGATGCACCCACCAGAATAAAGGGAAATGCCCCAGGCCTGATAAATGACGTATTCATTTCTTTAGGTTCAGACCACTTACCCTGACCACCCGACTTCATAGACTCGGAACGAAGTACTTTCCTCAACCATGGAAAAGCCAATTGGCAAGAATTCAGAGAATAAACCAATCGCCGCTTTAGAGAACTGCCCAACCAATCTGATGTTCATGTAGCAGATAGATAATTGCGCGTGTTATGTTAACAGGCAATTTATAGAGCACACCCCGAGAGTGACAGGTTGAAGAGATTATGTTGAAGGAACTTGGTGAACCAATATCTCACCAAACTCCTCAAACTATCATTAGCCACAGAGCACTTATGGTGGCACTAAATGTGTGGATGACAGTCGTGCGTGGAATTCAGAAAGGAGAAGTCGAACATACGTAGAGTGAAACAGGGAGTTCCCCAAAGTGGGTGATATCTCCCTTTCTGACATTCCACGCCCTCCAGGCGGAATAGAAATAATAACGTACGCAGATGATTGTACGCACGAGGCGTCTGGACCATTGATGACATTTGCAATCGGATAAACGCTTACCTAGTCAATCTAAGCGCCTTTTTCATTGCGAGGAATATAAAAACATCCGCCACTAAATCGACAAAATCAGAAGTAGGAACAAAGTTCTCAAGTCTCTGGCCAGAGCCATCTCAATCATCATCTCGTGGATAAGCAACCTCCGCCCAGTCACGTAAGGAAAGACTTTCATGATCTAGAGCGAGAGAGAGATAGAGATGTATAAAAAAGAGTCTCTAGATCAACAGACCTATCAAGCAGGACTGAATGGTATTCACTCTGACGCGGCCTCAGAAGCCATGGAAGGATATAGAGTGAATACCGTACTAGGACACAACAGCCTCCCATCGCAGCTGAAGCAGTTAGCCGGATGGGCCAGTCGCCTTAATTCGTATTGGTTGTGTCCTTCTTGAGGCTGGACTTAGAAGCAGAACCCGATTGAGATGAATCAGAACGGACACAGCAGTATGAGCTGCTACAACAAAAGCGCTCGTCGTGGCTTCTTGAAAAAGAGCAGCATGGAAAGAAACGACTTCAAAAGATTGACTCGATACGGATGCATTTAGGTTTTGTATATTTGAAGACTACACGTAGGAACCCTCTACATTGAGAGGACGCCCACGCATTGAGGAAAGTTCAAGCAGAACGGAACACCGACGAATAGGGGAACCTGTAGCATCGACTTTGTCGGATGCCGTAACAACATTTGGTTTCTATTTTGACGATTTTATAATGTAAACAAGTTAAAAAGCGTTAAGTTCGGTCAAGACGATTTTTCGAAATTGGATATATATTACTGTAGGATATGGATAAAAGAAATTACGAGTACTATTATCCTACAAATGTTTTTGAAAACCACAATTGCGAGAGTCAAAATGTCATCGTTATTTAATGGTTAAGACAGAAACAGTTTTTAAAAGTCATATACGGAGACACAATCGTAATTTAGTGCGCTCTTTCACTTTGACTGGAAAAATAGGCGAAAATTACAACAAAGCTACTTTTTTGGAAACTTGACATGTCAAAGTTGTAGTCAGGGCGAATTGATTTGAAGTACAAAATTTGGGGCAAATTGTTTTATCCATGGTAGAATTACAAGGTAACCCTTTCAGGCCAGCTGTAGTCAACTTGATATGTCAAACAAGTTGTTGTAATTCGAATTCGCCGTAGAAATACATAACAGAAATTCAAACATCATAGAGGAAAAAATAAACACAAAAATATAAAAATCAAACTTTGTGATATAATTCAAATAAAAAAAAAAAAAAACAGAATATGAGGTGCTGTGCTGTTTGCAAAAGAAAGGATAGTGAACGACAAGCAACATTTTTCAATGTACCCAAGGAAGAGAAGATGTACCAAGTTAGGACCGAATCGGATGCTCCCTTCGAGAGTTATCGTGCGCACCAGCCAGCCAGATAGACGGACGGACGGACATCGCTAGATCGACTCCAAATGTCCTGAAACGGATTTGGTTCAAAGAGACCTAGGGTCTAAAACCGTTATTTCGGCTAGGCACGTTTTGACCGTATCAAATGATATACACCCTCTTTAGCCATATGGCTGAGGGTATAAAAACATTAAGTTCGGCCGGGCCGAGCTTTGAATACCCTCCACCATTACCTAAGAAAACATTTTTATACAAAAGTATCTGGATTCAAACAGACCTTCTCTAGCGATATGACTGATGGTATAATACGTATACACTTCCAGTTATTGTAGTATTTTCAGTTTATATGTTAAAAAATATACTAATCTCAACTAATATATACATATGAATAAACCAAAACAAACTTATTCAATGTTTCAGAATGAAGAGTTCTGATTGGTGCAAACCAATTTGCCCTAAATTTTATACTTCAAATAAATTCGCCCTGATTAAAACTTTGACATATCAAGTTTCTAAAAAAGTTGCTTTGTTGTAATTTTCGCCTATGTTGCTACCTGGTATTTCTACCATGGTTTTATCCAATCAAAATATTGAGTTTAAAATTTTCAAAATTGTTGTTTTTTCTATTACAAAAGCAAATATTCTAAACTTCCAACATCGATTGTGAGTAATGCTGAAGCCGCTGCATCTTGGTTTGATTATAGCACGTTCAATACAACATTTTTGAAAATCACAGAGACTGGAAATGGAGTGATCGTCCATAATGCGTAGTCTCCAGCGTGCCAACGAAGGACATTTGCGATAATAGATGTCCAATCGTTGTTATCTCCTTACACAGTATGCAGTCTTGGTTACGTTGGCAACGTTGATTTCATATTCAACAGCGAAAATGTTCTTTACAAGAAAATATCCGGAAAATTAGTTTTGATGCTTTAAAATTTGGTTTTGTGGTGGTTGTGGGGTGTACCTTTTTTTCTTTTGATAAATCATCAGCTTTCTCGCTTTTTCAGTGATGTAGTGACATGCTACCTAAAAGGTACTTAGGGTATATTTATTCCTCAGGCTTACTTAAGATTTGGATCAAAAATTAAAGAAGATACAGGGGGCTAAGTCTACTGTGAGTCCAGGCATATTCTTTGCTCACCTATGAAATATATAGTAGACAGGAAGTCGTTTATGTATAGATAACTTTTATACATTCGAACAATTTGAAATAAAAAAATTATCTCAATATTTAATCACACCCCAAAAATTGTCAATGTTTGTTCCCCAAACCAATCCAATATTATTTGGATTCATTCACCTTTCACTGTTGAAGTCCTGTAGTGTATAACATAGTTAAAATCCGTACAAAAAGATGATGAAATTCCATGTATCGGTTTATCTCCTATATGAAATTGATTCCCGATTTCACTTATTTCAAATATCCACGAATTTTAGATCTTCATATTACCTACGCCTACCATATGTTGAATATACACTTTTTCCCTCATGCTCTATAAAAACCTAACATCTCGATTTTCTATCAATTGCAATGTTAAAGTTTGAAATCATACAACAATTTTTTGTGTGTAAATGAAAGGCGAATTTGAAAATTTCACTACAGAGCAACATGAACATTTTTCGGCTTATAATAATAGAAAAATCGCCGTTGTACTTAACAAAATGCCAACTGCAACCAAAATATTTTTCGCGGTTAAAAAGGAGTGACACCTTATTAAGAAACATAGTTGTATATTTCGTGTTTTCTAAAGTTGCAAAATGTAGAATACTTTATGTGTGTATGCAGTTTGCTTTCAATTTGAAATGGATGTTGCTTTTTCCACGATTTTCTAGCGATTGCTAGAAGTATAGAGAGATTAGGACATACAGCTAACAACTGTACATTTAGGAGAATGATATGAAAGCATTCAAACTAAATAATTGAGGAACTATTCTTCTGCATTTTAAATTTAATAATCCAAATTCCAAAAATGTATATTTTTGAAATTAAAATAATTAATTGAAAAATAATTATTTTGTTTACATTTTCGGACATATAACTCTGACACTTGTATTATGTACAAAAACAAATTATTCTACAATGGAATAACATGTAGAAAATGAGCTCCATAATACACAACTATATTCTAATGAAGACCGAACCATACTGACATAAAGCAACGTTTTATAAATCCTTAAAACGATTTCGGTTTTTAAATCCTAACAACGATTTTCGCTCAAAAAAGGTGAATGCCTGCACAGAGAAACTTTTAATGTGATGAAAAGAATATCAGGAATTCTATCTTTAATGTATCTTATATAATTTATTTGATGTATACATTGCTTGTTAATAGTATCCCACAACACATTCATATTGATGTAGCATTGAGCGAAGTCCACTAGCTCTAGTCGTTTGGACTCTAGCGTGATTAAAACAGACGGACAGACATGTTTAAATCAATTTAGAATTTTTCGCTGATGAGGAATGTATATACTTTGTTGGGCCTAAAATGATTACTTCGATGAGTTACAAACGGAATGACAAACGCATGAATGTGCAGACAAAATCTGTGTGTTGAAAAAACACAGTTCTTGTTCTACGCTTTAATTTGTAACAAGGAATAACAATCCACAAAAATAATAAGGGTTTTAAATATTTATCGATGCAGACCCTATGAAGGTATAGCTTTCGGCTCATTACATATGCAACGCTACATCCCCATTTCCAACGAACGTATTTTAGTAAAACGCGTTATTTACATTGTCAATTCTTTTTATCATTCTACAAAAATATAAGGAATCTTCTTAAGCCCATATTTTGAGATTTAGAGTACATCCGATTTTATTTGCTACATTTCCATCATAACAAAGTACAAAATATATATATTCTTGATCAGATTAAAATTCAAAGCGGATCTAGCTATGTCCGTCTGTCTGCATTAATCACGCTATCTTTCGAACGAATTGAGATATGCAGCTAAAGTTTTGGGTATATGTTTATTTTGTGTAGTAGGCAGGGTAAGGTCATAAATGAGTTATGTTAGTCCACGTTTTCGTACAGCACCCATATAACTATACCTTCCGATATTCGGTATTTTGTTGATTTTGGTGACATTTTTTAACAGAATTATTTTCGGCACTTAGAGTTTGTAATGTACCTCCTATGACAGATTATTATATATAATCCTAGTACCTCCCGATATTCGATATTCTGTTGATTTTAGCTACATTTTCTCACGGAGTTGTTCAAACTTTGGTACTTAAGGTTCGTAATGGGTTCTTTTTCAATCGTTTAAAATTCGGTAGACACTGTAATGGGTACTTTTTTTGGCAGAAACCGCTGGAGTAGGCACCTAAAAAAATCTGGGATTTTGGTGACGTTAGCCACATAAAAATTCTAACTCGTAATATTTAACAACCACTATCGGAGGAAATCGGTACCATCGAATTTACGACATTTTGAAGACTTTTTACCAACTGATTTTACTGGCAAATATGGAAGTTGACCCAATATCGAATCCCGATTCTTTTATTTTTAAATGTTTTCCTTACCTCATGTTTGAGATTATTAAAAGTTCGGCCTAACCGAAAGAAACGCGTTTTTACATATTTCAATCTTAACAGTAAATCTCCTCTTGGCCATTTTACACCATTCTAATTCTAACATAAATGAATATCCATATGTCAATAATACCTATTAATACTCATTTCTTTATGCTATACTTTGATATATCCTTCTTATAATTACCATTACTTTTTTTCAGGGACCCTTTTAAATGAAGGCGGACAAACATTGGATCATTTATTTGACACAATGTGCCTACGGCTGGGGAAATATTTGCAGGAGATTGGTTTGGTGCCAAAACATATAACTGATGTTGTCGGTCTCACGAGGGTATAAGAGGAGAAATTGTTTGTACATAATTTGTTAATAACAATTTTTGTTTAACAGGCTGGATATCAATTTTGCCCACATCACGTCTCTCATTACTTGGGAATGGATGTGCACGATACACCACTAATGCCTCGATCTCTAAAACTTTTGCCTGGAATGGTTTGCACTGTTGAACCTGGAGTTTATATATCGAAACACAGGACCGATGTTCCTAAAGAATTTCGCGGAGTAGGCATTCGAATCGAAGATGATATTTTAATTAATAGCGATAACAAGGTAGAGGTTCTGACATCTGTTTGTTGCAAAGAAATATTTGACTTGGAAAACTTACAAAAAAAGAAAGAAATTGAAAAGTAGGTTTTTGATACATAATTTATTGTTTCTTGTTAAATGACTGTTCAACTACAGACTGTTTATAGAATAAATTAGTTTGAAAAAATAAAATAAATAAATAAATAAAAAAATATAAAAACATATTGTATTTTTTAATAAAATAGTATATGCGTAAATATAAATTGTATTTTTTGGTAGAGTTTAATTGTAATGTTATTAACAAAGCTTTGTTAACAAGTTAACAGATAATTTTAAGCAAAACTACCCAATGAAATGTCTTCTCAGGAACTGCCAAAATAGAAAAAGTCCATATTCAAAATCAATTTCCGATATAGGAAAATATTCGAACTTGTGAAAATTTAAATTTTAACAGTGAAACCCAACGTTTTAGAATATTAATCGTAGTTTATTGCATGCATACTATGAAGTATCATTTTAAAAAGTCATAGAATTACTGTGGACAGGATTCGTCGCATCTCCGCTATTCGCGATCTACATGAACATAATTTATATTGTTAAGGTGAGACAATCTCAAATAAAAGATATGTAACTTAGAAGATGCTTAAATGTTTACAAAACCCAGGTATAAATTGATGTATATTTCCATCGACTCACCCTGTCTTGGTGAATGATCTTCTTTAAATTAAACATTTAAATAACGTGTCTTCACAAAACGATTACCCACAGCGGTTAAAAACTTCATTTATGTTGTATATTGCCGTTTTCCACAAATAATATAATCGTAAAAAAACAAAACATGCCAATACGCGACAATCCTCAAATAAAAACCAGTAAGGAAAGCTCAAAAGTCGGGCGAGGCCAACCTGTATCCGATATATATATATATATATATATATATATATATATATATATATATATATATATATATATATATATATATATATATATATATATTATATATATATATATATATATATATATATATATATATATATATATATATATATATATATATATATATATTATATATATATATATATATATATATATATATATATATATATATATATATATATATATATATGTGAAATCGATTCAGAATTGGATATGTCCCCTATATATTAGTTCCCTCCGAAACCAAACTATAATTGCTCTAAAGCCAATTGTTGATAGGTGGTATGACCTACTTTTTCAAATCAATTCATTAGGTTACAGCCCCGCCACTGACAACAGTTTGTCAGTAGGCCCTATAGACAATTATATAGCATCACATGTAATATAAGGCATATAGTAATTTGTAAAAAAGGCTGACATGATTGGAATTGGTCTGCGTTGCAGATTACTATTATTTTACTTAGTTTAAGGATCAATGACTATATCTATATTTAACAAATCAGTTGTCAGTTGTATCCTGAGTCTTGTTTGTCTTATTCACCCCCGACGTCCTGATTATATTAAAATAATTATTTAATTTTGTTTTCGATCTTGACCAAATTTAATACTTACTTTTATATGCATTCATGTATTTAAAATTCATGTCGATATTAAAAGTATAGTTCTAATGGACACCGTAATCGACACATCATCTAGAGAGAAAGGTACTTGATTCATTCTGCTGAGATTCGTTCAAGGTGCTTGCTTTTGTATTTTTTTCTCATAACAATATAAAACCACAAATATGTTCAAAACTCATTTTATTTTGGTCTTCATATGTTTACATATAAAAAATATTTAATAAAATCAAATTTACATTGTTGGTAATCATATTAGAACTGGTTTTAACGTTGTTGCTCCAGTAACACCAGTATGGGTTATACATAAATGACCTAAAATATTCAATTAAATCATCGCACCCATTAAAACTTTATGTCTATTTACCATAACGTTTTTATTCTGCTGGACAAGCAATTAAGCCGTAATTGTTGCTTATAGATCTTATTTAAAAATTAGTTTATATGTTTCCTTTTTCTTTATAGGCATATGTTGTTCAATTTCATTAGGAATAGTAAAATAGGGAGGTGGAACCTATTTAATTTTAACAACAAAATAAAAGAAATGTTTCTTTCTTTTTGTAAAATATAGTGAAGTACTTACACTTTTCAATTCCTCATAAGACGCTCCGCGCATAGTAAACTCTTTAAAAATGTAGTTGTTACCAATTTCATAGTGAAAACGGGTATCGTGTATTTTCAAAAGGACATTATCCACACGTAAAAAGTGCCTCAGTAGTATGAAAAATCCCGATGGCATAACTCGCTGCAAAGGACTCAATAAGTGTTTATGTCGGCAAGACTGTGTTTGGTGTTTATGGTTTGCCATTTGTTGTTTCAAATATGTTAAGCTTAACTCCAGTGTTGATTTAAAATCTCACACATGCCCTTTAATATAAACACTCTGGAAAATATGTTTAATTAGAGGTCACTACAACGTACGGGTCATGACTTCCAAGTGGGAACGTGACGACGTGGAAAACTGCAGACACTGTGAATTTAGTGATTGGCCAAATATCAATCTATATAAGTAAACTTGTTATTGCAGTTCCTCGCTGAAACCCTATTCTAAACGATATTATCAACAATATTTTAAAAAAAAATTAACTGAAACTATGCTAATTGCCGTTATTAAGTATCTAAGAAACATTCCTCACTAGTTAAAATTGTTTAAGATTTGTCTTAGTTGAATTGGTCCCTGTGACATAAAAAACATAGACAAGTTAAAAACCGACTTCTCTTTTCAGTTAATGGTTTGGAAAGGGTCAAAAAATCTCGTCATTACATTTAAGACAGATTAAAGCAATTTAGTGCCACTGTGTAGCCCTTGGATCAATTATGTTAGCAAAGTTAGGCGTTACTGCCAAACAAAATTAATGAGAATGGTTCTTTTTCCGCCAGAAGTAGTAAGCCGATTCTGCCATCTTCGAACTCGGTCTAGATTGGCCAGAAACATAACGATGTACCAAATTTGAACGAAATGGGATACTCCCTTCGAAATTTACCGTGAACACAAAACGAGTTGAATTTTTTGTTAGAAAAATTTTGGGTTGAATTTTTAGTGTATTTCGAGCATTTGCATATTTTTAGGAATTCACCTTATGAAATATAAAATATAATAAGTCCAGGTTCAAAAATTCACAGTATGTATGCCACCAAGACCTGCTGCTAGTATGCGAGAAATAGAAAAATATCTGGCAAAAATATTACTTAGGGACCATGTAATGTTATCTCCCAATTTTTTGTTATCTCCCTGCTATACAGTGACGAAAAAAAAATCAAATAGGTGTATATGTGGTAGAAAATGCAAATCTGTTTTCAATTTGCCTTGTGTAAACGTCAAGTTATTAACACTTATGACACCATTTTAAAAAGGTAAAAAATATTCGCTATAATGGACCGTTTTTAATTTTTATATAGAATTACAACCCAATACGGGGTTTTTAGTTATTAATTCCGAATTAGGCTTCATGAACAATTCATGTAACACCTGGTAGACTGGATTGAAGTCGAATCAATAAAAACGGGTCTAAAACCGATCTCTTGAGTGCCATATCTCAGGTCCCTAACGGAAATGTAAACTCTTACCACAATTCTTTGTTTCCATATTGTTTTGTTAGGGCATATGTTTCCAGATTATGTAACAAGACACTGCAATTAAGCCTCACTATTTTGAACCAACAACATTTGGGCCATTAATATTTTAAAACATACTATTTTCACGGAACACGACGATATTCCATTGTCATGCAGTTCATCCTCAAAAAGTGTCAAATCATGGTAGAAAAGTATTTTTTCTCTTTGCATCAACTTGAACTTATTGAGTTGTTGTTCTGTTTTTTCTATATTAAATTTCTCGTTGGGGGTCCCCTGGTAATCGGTGGTAAAAGTCCAATCGAATGGCTTAAATTTTTCTTCCATTAAACTCTCAGGCCTATACAAATATTTTTAAAACTTTTCAGCATCGACTCATAAAAATATAATTACCGGCTCTCTTTCCACTCTTGTGCGCAGGCTACTTGCAATGGTTGTTTTCCATTTTCCACCAAGCGCAAAGACTCCATTGGAAGAAATTCCAAACTAGCTCCATCACGGTGTGTTAAGACAAGTTTGTTTTTGTGAAACACCATATCCGGAAGATGTGGCAGTTCCAGAGCATTTCGATATGTGCACAATTCACAACAATCGTCCTCATCTTTGTTGCAGTGTGCGTCTTGCCCCTTAGAGCAAATACTTTTTAAAATATGCGATTTGAAATATTCTATATGCCATTCTCCGAAATCGATGCTTTCTTGATCAACAGGCAAACGGGGGATTAGTTCATCCTAAAATGTTCGATATATTTGCTGTATATTATTTCTCTACAGTGAATATGTTATGTATCAACTGCGTAAACATACCTCCATTGGAAAAGCTTCCTTTTGGTTTTACACTTGATATATTTAGGGAATAAATAATAACTTAAGATCATGAACTTTCAGCCGGCAAATAAACAAAAGTTAGGTAAATAATAGGAATAGGTATGTTAACTTTCGATTAATCGAATAATCGACTTTTAGTACTCAATTTTCTGATGCAAACCACACACGATACAACTGGTTGTACAACTTGGAGAGGTTGTATTCAAGATTGTATCGTTTGTGGCCCGGTTGTACGAAGTTGTGTCTCGGTTGTATGAAAAATCAAAATTTTTTGATATTTGTCATGTTGTACCATGGCAGAACAATACAGGTAGATGCATCAACGCTTGGGAGCATTAATGTGTCAAAAAAATTTAAATGTTTTTTCAAATATAAGTAGATTTTTATATGTTTCCTTATACTACGTCAGTCGAAGGCTATTAAAATTCGCGTTTTTCAAAAATGTTTACATATTTAAATAATTTTTCATTGTGTTGAACCAACCGATTGTAACGTTTGTGGGCATGTCGCATACAATTTAATTTTGTTTTTATTTTTGAAGAGGCAACACCATAGTTTCGCACATCAAAACAATACGAAATCCAATCAAATGTGTGATTTTAATGTATAAATAAAATAGGAATTTCAATTTATAAAATGGAATTTAAAAAATTAATTATAAATAAAGCTATTGAGTCAAATATAGAGCATGGATTTTTAACGGTGTCATCTGAACTCAAATAAGCTCTACGAAAAGTGAAGTTCTACAAAGAAGTTGTACACTAAGTTGTATCGTTTGTGCCAGACACTCACAATTTGAGTACTATACAAGTTGTACAACCAGTTGTATCGTGTGTGGCTTGCATGAAACTCGAACTCGACTATGGACTTGGGTGAAAACCGAGTACTCGACTATTCATAGTCGATTCTTCGACTTATGCTATGTTCTCATTACAATTTCAATCACGTTGTTTGTTATCAGAATTAGGTGCACGAATTAACCCGTTCATACGGCACGATTCGTAATTCATAGTAACATAATTCCTTTTTTAAATATTTTGTTGGTTTTTATAGGAACATGCAATTTTTTCCAGTGTTAGGTATTTTTACCGTGATTCCGGAAAACTATTTTTTCTTGGGGGACGGACCCGGGACCCCAGATTTTTTACCCGAAAGGGGTTCAAGACCCAGATTATGAAAATACCTATCCTATCACGGTTCGGAAGTTATAGTCAAATTATCGATTTTTTAGACCCGGATTTTTTATGAAACTAAAGACTTTTTACTAAACTAGAGTTAAGAAATTAGTTTTTCCTCCAAAGATTTATTTTATCTTTCATTTAACAATTTTCATTCATGTTTTGAACTTTTTGCATAAATGTTGACATTTTAGTGGATAGTCACTTGTCAAAAAATATTGTCCATACAAAATATTGCCTCTTTTGTTTCCAGTTTGTTGTCGAAATTCCAATCGTGGGCAAAACGCGTATCTCGGATGAGAGAAAAAGCTAAATTTACTTTTATTTGAATGCACAAACGCTATTCAATATTATGGCCCGTTCTTATATCTTTCCTTTATAGTCCACTTTTGTTATCCCTTACTTTAGGAAAAGTGAAGTTCACATTATCGGGTTCTCATTATTACATCTTTCCTTTAAAATATATGAATTTTTACAGAGATATGGCAAGTTTTTTTTTTTAAGTAACTGGTATTTACTGCATTTTTTCACAATGACATCTTCATTTAAGTTCAAAAATAATAAACAAAAAGCGAATTTGTAATTAATTTCGTAGAAAAAAATGATAATGCAGTTTATCAATATATAATAAATGAGCTGCGTTATCCATTTTATTGATTAATCAAAATTTGCTGTTATTTCCACATTATCAGTAAAAAATGTGGCAACATGAATTCAGTAAACTTTACATTAAAAGATAAAGGGAAGATGGTCTGGTTCATACTTAAATGAAACTTGTAATAACGAAAAACGATTTATGTGTCCGGCAACATCACTTTTTGCATTTTCAATTCCTGTTCAACTAATGTGCCCAATACCAATGTTGTTTGGTTGTTATTGTGGTTGAGTTGTGCCATGTTAGAAGAATACAGGTAGATGCATCAACGATTGGAAACATGGATATGTAGAAATTTTAAAATGTTTTTAAAAAATAAGTATATTTTCATATCTTTTCTGGAACAACTCTAGTTTAGTAAAAACTCTTAGATTTTTTCGAAATTTTTTCAGTGGTAGGTATTTTAACCATGATCCCGGGAAACTATTTTTTTCTTGGGGGACGGACCCGGGACCCCAGATTTTTGACCCGAAAGTCCGGGATCAAGACCCCGCCTGGACCCGGATCCACTTACCCGATATAGACAATATGGGTATCGATTGAAAGGATTTTTTATGAAACCCCCAAAAGTCAAAAAAGGGCCCATTATGGTGGTCAACAAAATTGTTTCCAAATTATAGCTGACACTCTTACCTTTCCATAATGCTACAATTTGTGCTAATACCTTTTTCGGGTCCAGAGATATGGGTCTTTCCATCCGCATAACGCGATTCTAACCAGTTCATTAAAATGATGTTTTCAATAAAAAAAGTGTTTATTTCGCGTAGCAGTCGTCGGAATAACAAAAGTTTTCTAAATTTGGCACTTTTTGTAAATAGCCGGCCTTTGGCCGGGGCTTGAGATTTTCACCTATGGGTATGTCCGACACCGGCTAACGCGAACAAAAGGTTCATAATTTCGGCACTTTTTGTAAATAGCCGGCCTTCGGCCGGGGCTTGAGATTTTCTTCTCTGGGTATGTCCTACACCGGCTAACGCCAACCAAAGTTTTCTAAATTTGGCGTTTTTTGTAAATAGCCGGCCTTCGGCCGGGGCTTGAGATTTTCTCCTCTGGGTATGTCCCACACCGGCTAACGCGAACCAAAGTTTTCTAAATTGGATACCTTTTGTAAGTAGCCGGCCTTCGTCCGGGGCTTGAGATTTTCTCCTCTGGGTATGTCCTACACCGGATAACGCGAACCAAAGATTTCTGAATTTCATGCTTACGCAAAATATACCTTTTTTTTATTGAAAACATAGTTTTAATGAACTGGTTAGAATCGGGTTATGCGGATAGAAAGACCCATATCTCTGGACCCGAAAAAGGTATTAGCACAAATTGTAGCATTTTGGAAAGGTAGAAGTGTCAGCTATAATTTGGCATCAATTTTGTTGTCCCCCATAATGGACCCTTTTTTGACTTTTTGGGGGTTTTATAAAAAATCCTGGTCCAAAAAATCGATAATTTGACTATAACTATAACTAATTTAACCGTAACATCATACTCCATCATGAGACCACTTGTTGGATAGGTATTTCGGGTCAAAAATCTGGGGTCCCGGGTCCGTCCCCCAGGAAAAAAATAGTTTCCCGGGATCATGGTTAAAATACCTACCACTGAAAAAATTTTCGAAAAAATTGAAGAGTTTTTACTAAACTAGAGTTAAGCCTCCTTTCTTATACGACGCCAATCGAAGGTTGTTAAAATATGCATTTTTCAACAATTTTAACGAATTGGAATAATTTTTCATTCAAATTTTCAAAATTGGTTTGACAGTTGATTTTCCCGGCCATGGCAGAAGAATACAGGTAGATGCATCAACGAGTGGGAGCATTGATATGTCAAAAAAATTGAAATGTTTTTTAAAATATAAGTAGATTTTTATATGTTTTCTTATTCTAAGTTAGAAGGAGGCTATTATAATTCGCGTTTTTCAAAAATTTTTGCAAATTAAAATAATTTTTCATTCAACATTTTCAATTCCAAAATTGGTTTGACAGTTCATTGTCCCAGCAGCTGTGTCGACGCGACTACCTATATTCTTCTACCATGGTCCTGGCTGTCGATGCGACTACTTCGACTATGAGTTCTGCGTCTAGTAAGTAAGTAAGTAATTCTTTATTTGAGTCTTCTTCTTTCTTTGATAGGTTTACAATACGAATGGTTAACAGTGTACCCTTAGAACTATTGTTGTCTTGTTCTAACTTAATCGTGACATATATGATTATGCTACATTGCTTGAATGAAAAGGCAGAATGTTTAAAGTAAAAACAGATTGAAATTATGAGAGAGGCTTGCTCACGGCCTCAAATGTTACGAACAGAGCGAGAATGTCTGTAAATAAATAAATAAAGGTATAAAAACAAACATAAAAACTAAATAACAAACAAAGTTCTGTTAAGTAATTGACTAACAGGGATCATAGTAGTCTATGGAGATTATTTAAATGACTATTACTAAAATGTAATTTGTATAAATTTTATCACAGGTTTGAAATGCGATTCTAAGTAAATCGAACGCTCAGGTACAGTTTAGAGCTTAATATTCAAATTATTGGTGAGTATAATTTGTAAAAGAATTATACTAATATATATATAAGTTTTAATTTTATATTTTGTAGCTTAACCTCTATGGTTGCCAGGTGCTGATTTGCTGTAAAAAGGAGGTAGCGTGTATTCGTTGTTGACATCTGTGGCTGGTTCGTTTAATATACCAATTGGAGAGAGGTAATACGATTCTGGCCACGATATGTGCTTTTCCATTTGGTAGATTTCATTCATTAGTAAGTTTTCATGGGTTTCGAGTTTTTCCACGAATTTCTTCTGGTGGCTTTGGATATACTTACAAAAAGGGACAACCCTGGACGTGTTGTATATGTAAGTATTGCTGTATCTCTTTTCCTGTGAAATGTAGCTTTTGTTGACACATTTTCTTAAGATCTTGCGTTCTAGAATTTCTAACTCCTTGGCCACTATTGGGGAAATAGAGAACCAGATCGGAAACCCGTACGCTAAGATAGATCTAATTGCAACTTTGTAGAGAAGTAACTTCGTGTTTTGTGGTAGGTATTTGCTATTTAATAGATATGAAAACTTTACTAATATACCTTTTGTCTTCTGCATGACGGACCGTGCGTGTTTATTGAACTTCATCAAATTGGTGAGAGTAATACCCAAGTATTTGGGAGATGTTTTAAAGGGAATCTCAACTCCTTCAAGAGACAGCTGAAGTTCTTTACTCTCTGGAACAACGTTTCTAGGGCATTTTCCCGAAGCGTTCCGGAAACATATTGCTACGGATTTATCGGCATTGATTTTGATTCCCCATTTTTGATAGAATTCATGGATGCTCTGGAGATGAGTTCTAGCGTTTTGTAAGGCGTTCTTGGGCGAAATGTTGTGTGCGTAAATTAAGCAGTCGTCGGCATATAAAATCGCTTGAGAGCCTTGGCCGATATGGGGGAAGTCATACAGGAAAATATTGAAAAGGTAAGGGGCTAAAATACTTCCTTGCGGCACCCCACTGTTTACTAAGCCCGTGGCTGACGACGTGTTTTTGATATTAATTAAGAACTTTCGTGCAGTGAAAAAACTTGCCATCAACTTGATCAGGTATGGGTCTATACCAATTTCGATTAACTTGTAAAGTACTCCTGTGTGACATATCGAGTCAAATGCTTTTTGTATGTCTAAGGAAATCGCTACAGTAGACACTTGGTTCCTTAGATTTGATGTTATATCACTGTGGAGCTTCAGAAGCGCGTGTTGTGTGGAATGGCCAGACTTGAACCCAAATTGGTATGCTGAGATTGGACTAACTGGTAATTCGTTTTCCATTTTTTCTTTTAGGACCGACTCAAATAACTTCCCGATGTTGGACAATAGTGATATTGGACGAAAATTGCTCAAAGTGTTGTCATTAATTATTTTCTTCTTTATGGGAATAATTTTCGCCAATTTCCAGAGTGATGGGAAATATCCATTGTTGATGCAGTTGTTGAAGAGACATGTAAGCAGATTTATAACATTATCTGGGAACTTTTTAATGAGAAAATTGGAAATCTCATCAGGGCCGCTTGATTTTTTACAATTGATATTAGTAATTGCGATTTTTATCTTTTCAGGATTGGTAAAGTGAAAAGAGTCTGGATTGTTTAATGAATTGAAGTTATCATTAAATGAGTAGATGTGCGGTGGAACGGCGTTGATGCATGTTGTGACTCTAGAGCTAAGATCGTCTACAGGATTTGTGGGTACATTTTCTTGAAAATTTTCAGAATAAAATTGTTTAAAATTATTAGCAATTTCGGAACTTTCCGTAATGGTTTCATTTCCTATTTGAAGTTTTTCGCAAAATGATGAATTATTTTTGCCGGTAAGTTGAGCTACTTTTTTAAATGCTGATGGCCCGGGTTTGATAGTTTTCAATTTATTACTGAACGCCTGCGCAGATTCAGTATTGATTAGATTTTGAATGATAATTTTAAGAAGTTGGATTTGCTTAGAAAGTATGGTGTATTCAGGGCTTATCCTATTTCCAGTACGGTGGTAAATCTTCTTTAGTTCCTTCTGCCATCTATGTTTGACTTTGAGAAAATTCTGAACCTTATCGGAGAAAGGCGGTTTATGGATATTTAGGGCAATTTTTTGTGAGTGGTTGTTGTGAATTCGAAGAAGTTCGCAGTTAAAGTCTTCGATAACATCGTCAATTTGTCCATTTGATAGGTTCCTATTAATTGGCGGCATAATTTGCGTTGACATTAAATTTAGGTCTTGTCGAAAATTGTTCCAATTTGTGTTTTTATATGAGGTGAAGAACTTTGGCTGTCTCAAAATTAGATTTGTGCGATAAAATGATAATGCCAGTTTAATGGGAAAGTGATCGGAGAAAGTTGGCAGCGTTTGTATATTGCAGTTTTGAATCCCGGGTTCGACCAAATGAGAGGAAATTAGAAAATGATCCAAGAATGAGGAACCATTTGGGAACGATGGAGTGGAACCACAAAGACGTGTGACCTCTAGTGAGTTATCAGCCAACCATGCGCGCAGCGTTTTGCCATTAGAATTTTCATGTAGATCACCCCATGAGGTACTTTTTGAGTTGAGGTCACCTCCAAGAATAAATCCATCAAAGTTTTTGCAAAGTTGTAGCAATTTGTTTAAATCTGATTTAAGAGAGTTTACTGGCATACTGCAAGGAATGTAGACAGAGCCAATGAGGTATTTAAAGGTGTTGTTATTTCTCAATAATTCTATTTGAATGAACGACGTACCAATACCGACGTCGTTAAAAGGGACTCTGGAAAATTTTATGTTTTTTTTTCGCAATTACTGCAATTCCAACAGAAGAGTTGTCATATATAAAGTTATAGCCATTAATCCACATTTTCTTATTGTTCCGCAGATGGCATTCTTGAATAAAAGCAAAATCTATGTTCTCACGATGGAGCATATTTTCTAATTCAAGTTGTCTACTAGAATCAACTAGTGAGCGTACATTGAGTGTGAGAAATAAAATGGATCTATGGTCCATAGATAGATTTTACTTTTGTAAGAAGCCTTAGGAATTCTTGCTTTGCTTCTGCCTTTGACTTTTTTTGGAAGGTGTTTAGAAATATTTCAATTTCTTGTTCTAGAGAAAGCACTTCGGGCTCTAGAAATAAATTGGCAAGTTCAAGGAATTGTTGTATTAGAGGTGGCTTTTGAGAAGTTTCTGATCCCTTTACAGGTGTTTTAAAATGACTGGCAAACGTCTTACCCGGAGATAATATAGACATGTTCAGTGCTCTACTCACGTTATTTTGGGCGATCGATTTAATTTCCATTGCGTCGGCGACTTTTTTCCGTCTGGCTGCGACATAGGCTTTATAAGACGGACAACCTCTCCAATTAGCCGGGTGGCCTAATTTACCGCAATTGACGCAGTAAGGTTCTGATGAGTCTGTAGCAGTTCGCTGGCACTCACCGGGAAGATGTTTTTGGTCACATTTAACACATCTGTATGGACAATTGCAGTTGCGGGAGATGTGGCCGTGGCCTTGACATCTGCGGCACTGAGGATCGCGATCTCTTTTCTTCGGTTTTTCCCATTTGATAATTTGTCTATTTAGTTCTTTTATGTGTGTAATCTCACTAGCTTTTTTTCCTGGCAATAAGGATACCAAAAATAAGCCAGTGTCAATGTTTTTCTTTACAGACATTGGGGTTTTGAATTTTGAAACATTTGCCACTGTGTCAGGAGCTAGACTGTCCAACTCTTCTTTGATTTCCTGTATGTCTGAAAATGCGTGGAGATCCCGGATCAAAATTGAATCTTGTTTCAGCTCTTTTGGCGTGAATGTATAGGAGTCTATGTTTTTTGCCCTCAGTATAGCCATCATAGAAGCATGAACTTTTGGATCCGACAGAAATATTTTGCTCTTTGTCTTGTTTACGTTTTTAATTTTAAAAGAGGATTGAGGAATTGATGCTTTAAGCGACTCAATCAACGTCATCATATTTACATTGAAGACAAAAATTGGCGGGCACCAAGACATTTTTGATTTGTGTCTCCCATCTCTGGTTATGCGGGGTTTTGCGTTGTCATTGTTTTCGGCAGGAGCTGCAATACCTATGTCAACGTCCGCAAGAGCACCTAGGATTCCAAATTTATTAGGATCATCAGGATTATGACTCAATAGTCGTTCTCTTAGGTCGGCAATATTTATGTTCACTGGTGACTGCACATTTTCAAGACGTTGTCTTTTTCTTTCATTTTGATCGCAGTCTTTAGGTTGTTTGTTTGTTGTTGGTAATGGCGGGAATGAATTAGAAGTTAATGCAATAACTTCGGGTACGTCGTATTCCATATCAGGAAGAGTGTCAGGCATCTCCATTGCAAATTAATGCAAATCTGATGCCTGCGGACGGTTAAAAAATACTTTGAATTCGCAAAAATAATTTTTTTTTAATTGCAGCTTTAATCAGCACGTCTGGTAAGTTGTAGGGTTCACTAGGTTTTTTCGAGTTCTGCGTCTAAAGCGCGCGCACTTCTGCCCTGTTGTGTTGTTGCAAAACAGAGCGAATGCGTGCGTGGCAAACCAAAATAAAATACTCTTTTGTTTATGAATGAGTGTAGTGCAAACACCGGGTACCTGTTGTTTACGAATGAGACATAAGAAAAAATTGAACACATTCACTAAAAGAGCGCGGAACTAGCTTCAAATTAAATTTGTAAAATTTTCATCTCGGTATTAGCGGATTTTTATTAATTTGAAGTTAAGTAAGTAGGTTTTATTAATTTGAAAAAGGGCTAAAGTGCCCCGTCGACGGTCAAAATGCAAGAAATCAAAATTGTGTAAGTGTGCATGAAGCTTTTAGCGTGTGCTTAAAAAATAAAGAATATGAAAACAGTAAGAGAAATAAAAGAATCTGCATGAAAGAGTGGTATAAACATGAATTCACTCATGAACATTTATTAGTTGAACTAAGAGTGTTATAGGCAAACGATTTTGAAAATTGTTTAAGAATGGAGAGTTCCACTTACGAGGAACTACTAAGCCTGGTTGTGTCACCAATTAATTTTCGGTCTTTCGGCATTAGTACTTCATATTAATTTTCTTTAATAACCCGATTGTTATATTTTTCACATTTAACATCCCAAAGTGCTCCCAATGACACGAAAAATTCCAACAACTTGTCATGTGCGTACTCACGCCATCTATACGCCACATACCGAAACTCGTATAATTTTGTCTGTCACACCAAGTGACATATGGTTTGTTTATCCTGTCATTTCAAAAAGGGAAATTTTAAATGTGGAAAACATATTGGAAATAGGGAGCCAATAAGCCATGTAAAATATTCAAAGTTCTTTCTTTTTATTTCTGGAGTTCTTGGCAGCAGGAAGTGGATCGAGCAAAAAGAAAATAGTAAAGTTTTTACCCACGTTAAATACAACCGGTGTAATAATACCCGCATATCACAAAACAAAATTTTAAAAATATTTATTGCCTTTATTGCACGAAAAGAGAAAAAAAACCTCAATAACTTTTGAACAAAAGGAAGTAATCCAGCACCAAACACCTTTGCCAGCATCGATAACGATATTTGGACCACCGATCCCGACTCCTCTGCCCATCGTTGGATACGCTGTTGAGCACCAGGCATTCCGCGGTGCTGAGGTACCTAAAAATAAAAGAATATAAAACTGATATGGTGTAAAACGAGCTATTGACTTTAACTCATTACTTACCTCCAAACTTATTGATAATTACTTGCGACGGACGGACTGCCCATAAACCTAGAATAAAAGGGTATAGAAAATACGTGGCCTTAAGGGTAGACATTTCCTTTTGTTTTCTTTATTATTCGAATTTTTACTCTCATATCCTCTCCGAATAGATAGAGCTCTCTCTAGGCAGGTAGGACAGGTTATTAACCACCAGGAGTTAGTTGCTCCCATACACAAAAGCTTAATGTTGTCCCTTTGCTTTTACTCCACTTAAAATAGAAGAAAACTTTTTATTCAGGGTTTGAACTATAAAACTAAAATACAACACTCATACTTACGAGATTAACTGACGGATAATAAGCTCCATTGCCAGCAATCACCGCCATAATAGGACCTCTGTTCAGCATCCCTGGAAAAGAAAGAAGAGCAGCCATCTTATATTAAATTTATTAAATAAATACCCAAAAGTGGTACTTACCTAAGTTTCGTTATTATGTACAACGTTCAAAATTATAATACTTACGATTTTCGAATATTTTACACTAGTAAAAACTCTTTGCACTAGTAATAACCTTTTTAACAATGTGAATTTCAAAGTTAAAATTATCCACAATTTTTTGTATTAAAAATTAAGAACCTTGAATTAAAAATAAAATTATAACGATGGATATGAATTAAAATGTCTTCTCCATAAGGAAATTTAATTGAAGGTTAGGAGGGTGACGTGCTAAAGAAGAGGTAGGTATGGGGGCAATATGAACATGTTTTGATTGCCAAGGTGGAACAAGTGTTCCAGTGGGAGGGAAGAGCTCGGTTTAACACCTGCCGAGTACTTTCATGATTTTTTTCCCATATAACTGGTTGCTTTTTCTTATTTATGCTGTGGTAAAAGTCATTAATAGTTTACTATTTCTCTCGGGCTCGGAATACCCTTTTTTTTTTAATTTTGATCAGTCTGGCATGATATTTTTTTTTGTTTAACGTATTGCCAACCTAGTCAATGTCGTCAAGAACCACCCCCATCCGGCGAGCACTAGCCGTGCAAAAAGCCAACATGCCAGCAATGACGATGTTTGATAGAAAACAGGAATTATGTGAAATCAACTGACGGTAGTACGTGACAAAATGGCGCCCATAACGTGGGGCCCGAGATGAAAGCAAAAAAATAATTGTAGCCATATATTATTTAAAGCAAGTAGGTCCCGTTTGAGTAACTCAAAGAGTCCTCCCGGCTGCCACTTGGTTTAAATAGTATACATTTTGAACGATATTTCTTCATTTTCAATATCACGGTCCAATGTTAAAATCTCAGTCCCGACCTAAAGTTTTCTAAATCGGGGTCGTGAGGTGGAGATTTAATTTTGAATCACCAAACCTTTAGGCTACATATAATCGTAGGTCTTATCGCCAGTGTTAGTAACACAACGCATTTAATTGCCACGATTGTGTGGAGTTTTTGGGTCACATCCAATTAGTTTTTCATTGCAATAGCCATTTTTAACAATCATTTTGTATTCGAAAGGAATTTTGTTGTCCGGAGTCAATTCTTAGACAGAAACACTCATAGTATAGTCAACGAGATTTCTTTCGATGTCACTAGGTTGTTAAACCAGATTTTCCATATCCACAGTATAAAAAGTTAAAGCACAGGATTGCAGGAGGTAATTATTTTGTTTACCTTATTTCTTTTAAATCTGAAAGTAACATCTACTCTTCTAATGGCCGTCACCTAGAATCCTACCTTATGATATATTGAAAGACTTTTTGATATTATTTAATACATCATTATTTTCCTACCTCGACAGAAGTAGAAGCATTACTACTAGTATATATGTTTTCTTGATTTTTAGTTTTTATTTTTAATATTTCTTAGGAACACAGTTATTAGTTTACTATTAATTTTGGAATGGTTTTGACTAGAAGTGGTAGTAAGCTACAGCCAAATAATATGGAAAACAACGAAGAAGCAGTTAATTCCGAGCCAAGGGTAGGGGCACAGAACACGCAAACTCAAGTTCCTACGAACAACCCACCAACTTTGCAAACCAACACTGGAACGGGAGGCATTGTCAGATCGTCAAGCGCTCCATCGATTGGCAGCGATGCATCGATCAGTCCGGATGAACTGAATAATACTATACTTTCTCCAGCATTTTCAAGTTTGACCGCTCAGAACGTAAGACGAGAATTTCGACAGGGGAATGGAGACGATAGATCGGAATTCAACCAGGCTAATAATCTGCAGGAAATGATGGCATCCATTGGGTTAGCACAAGCTCAACTGATGCGCAGTATTGAAGTGATTCGGCAGGTTCAGCGTGATCTACAGCAAGCACGGCCAACCGTGAGAAATTCCACCGAGGAAGGTTTGTCGGCTGAACACGCAGCTGGGATACAGACTCCAGCTATAGCTCCAATGACGCGTGCGCCACCGCCACTAACACGTTATCCGACAGTTGTAGGAAACACTCAATCAATGCACGGAATTAGGGAACCTCCTCCATCGCAGGCAGTTCGAAATGAGGCATCAGGAGCCGAGAATAACAATCCTATCATTGCGGTGGATACCAGAGGTCAAGATTATACGGGGAATCCAACAGAAATGAGACCTCAGAAGCCGTCGAATGCATCATCCTATCACGGAAATGTAGCTCATCAAAGTAGCAATCGAAAATACAAAGTTAAAGATTGGGGAATGCGCTTCAATGGCAGTGAGAAAAACGCAGATGCTGAACATTTTATCTTCTGTTTGGAGTCTACGAGGCAAGACTATGGTTATCCATTTGACGAACTTCTCAGGGAGTTCCCACAGTTACTTGAGGGTAGTGCCGAAAGTTGGTACTGGCAGCAACGACGAATTGCCCCGTTTAGGCACTGGAATGAGTTGAGGGAAGCATTTTTAGCCCAATTTCGTCGGTACCAGAATGAATTTCAAATTCAAAAAGAAATTATGGGTCGTCGTCAGATGCCGAATGAAACATTTGATGAGTTTTTCGATGCCGTGCTCAAAATGAGAAACCAACAACGATCTCCATATGATGAAAACGACTTGGTAGAGATCATGAAAGGAAACTTAAAATCATCACTTGCTTCTCTTATTTTCCCTATTCAAATTAAAGGGTTGAACCATTTTCGGCAGGAGGTCAAACGGGCTGAATTGATGGTAGCTGGACAAAGACAAGCATACCAGCAAAGAACGTTTCAACCACAGAAAGTACACGAACTAGAATACACAGAGGCCGAATCTGAATTGGACGTAGACGCTTTAGCAGTGTCCAACCGCTACACGTGTTGGAATTGCAGAAAGGTTGGTCATAGTTACATTGATTGTCCTGTACCCATATCAAAGGTGTTCTGCTTCAAGTGCGGAAGAGAGGGAGTAGTTTCCCCAAAATGTCCAAGGTGCCAGGGAAACTTGAATCGGAGCGTTCCTCGAACTGGGGAGGCGCGCTCCACCCAGACGGAGTCCCAGCAGGAACAGTAGAGGGAAAGTGTAACGCGAAGAAGGTAATCTTATTAGTCAACGAAAACAAGAGGGTGAATGAAGAGAAGCCGATATTACGAGTGTTGAAACCATTGCATGTAAGGAAAAAGGAATACGAAGAAGCTAGGTCGAGAATTTTCGGTGTAGTGTCCAATAAAGTAAAACGGGCTAGAGAAAGATACAACAAGAGAAGGAAATTGAGAAAGGAAATTGCATCTACTACCCTATATGAAGGTGAAGATTCGAGATTTTACACCAAAATTCACATTAATGGCGAAGAAATTGAGGGTCTTCTTGACAGTGGAGCAACGGTGTCTTGTTTAGGTAAGGGTTGTCTAGATCTGGTAGGAAAAATTGGTTTAACTCCTCAAGATTTCTTTTCTTTTGTTAAGACTGCAGATGGAAGTCCACACAAGATAACCGGGAAAATCCGTGCAGATATTACCTTCAATAATATGACTCACCCAATAGATTTCTTTTTGGTTCCTACACTTAACCGACAACTCTTCCTTGGAATTGACTTCATGAAAACCTTTAAAATGTTTGCGTCTGTTGAGAGTCTCACCACCAACGGCGTCAGTCTTTGTGATGAGGCTGATAGTGGAACCAGTGATGACAGAACTGTTCATAAATTGTCTGATCCACAACGGAAACGTTTGGATGGGATAATAGCAAGATTTCCTTCTTATTCAACACAAGGCTTAGGCCGGACTAAGTCTGAGGTCCACACGATCGACACAGGTGACGCAACTCCAGTTAAAAGTAGACACTATCCTGTATCTCCAGCTGTACAAAAGCTCATGTATGCAGAGCTGGATAGAATGCTCGATCTAGGAGTCATTGAGCCGAGTGAAAGTCCGTGGAGTCATCCTGTCACTCTAGTCAGAAAGGGCGACAAAAATAGGCTCTGCTTGGATGCTCGTAAGCTCAATGCTCTGACGGTCAAGGATGCCTACCCACTCCCGCACATTGAGGGATTGCTTAGCAGGTTGGGAGATACCTATTTTATCTCAAGTGTCGATTTAAAGGACGCTTTCTGGCAAATCCCATTAGATGAGTCCAGCAAAGAAAAAACGGCTTTCACAGTACCGGGAAGACCACTCTACCATTTTACCGTCATGCCTTTTGGGTTGTGCAATGCGGCCCAAAGGTTGTGCCGTCTAATGGATAGAGTGATCCCTTCGGTACTGCGGGACCGCGTTTTTGTTTACCTGGACGATCTTTTGGTGGTTTCGCCAGACTTCGAAACCCACCTGGAGTTGCTGAAGCGCGTTGCCGATCTATTAGCTGAAGCAGGACTAACCATAAATGTAGCTAAATCTAAGTTTTGCTTCAAGGAATTAAGATATTTAGGCTACATCGTTGGAGGTGGTGAACTCAAACCAGACCCAGCAAAAATTGAGACAATAACTCGTTTTTGTTTTCCAAAAACCGCGAAACAGGTACGCAGCTTTACGGGGGCAACAGGGTGGTATCGTAGGTTCATACCAAATTACGCAATGATCGCCGCGCCCATTTTCGATACCTTAAAGAAGGGAAAAGTTTTCCATTTTACTGAAGAGGCAAAGATAGCTTTTGAAAAACTCAAGACTGCATTAATCACTAGCCCTGTCCTGACTCATCCTGATTTTTCTAAACATTTTTATGTGCAGTGTGATGCTTCTGATCTGGGAATCGGAGCAGTGCTATTCCAAAAAGATAGCGAAGGAGGGGAACATCCCATTGCTTACTATTCCCAGAAGCTCACATCGGCACAAAAGAATTATTCAGTCACGGAGAGAGAGTGCTTGGCGGTGGTTAATGCAGTAAAGAAATTTCGCCCTTATATCGAGCTTATGCCATTTACAATTATTACCGACCATAGTAGCCTGAAGTGGCTGATGTCGCATAAAGATTTAAGTGGGCGATTGGCTCGATGGAGTCTTCATTTACAATCATTTAGTTTCGATATAGAACATCGCCAAGGGTCCATGAACGTAGTACCTGATACACTGTCAAGATACGATATGGAAGAGTTGTAGGTAAATGTAGATGCTTTAATAGACCTTTCTTCATCAGCTTTTCAAAACGAGGACTATAAAGATCTTATAGATAACGTCAGTAAGAACGCGGATCGGTTGCCAGATATAAAAGTGATAGATGGATTCGTCTACAAAAGGACACAATTTTACGACGGCTCACCTACCAATGAAGATTTTGCTTGGAAATTATGGATTCCATTGGAGTTAACCAATGGAATTATCGAAAAAGCCCATTGTCTCCCTGTGGCCTCACATGGTGGTTTTCATAAAACCCTAAAAAGAATCAAGGAGTATTTTTATTGGCCCCTTATGAATAAGCAAGTTAGAGATTTCGTCCTTAAATGTCAAGTATGTAAAGAGTCTAAATCAGCCAACATAACGCTACGTCCTCCCATGGGCAAAGAAGCCAATGTGGAGAGACCTTTTCAAAGAATTTTTGTAGATTTTTTAGGTCCCTATCCGCGTTCAAAGGCCGGCAACACTTATATTTTCATTGTCCTTGACCATCTTAGCAAGTACGTTCTTCTTAAGGCTATGAATAAAGCCAGTACTAAAAATGTGTTAAATTCCTCATATCAGAGGTATTTCATAAGTTCGGTACACCCGAAGTACTAATTTCAGATAATGGACAACAATTTGTAGCAAAGGAATTTGAGGACCTTATGACAAACTTTGGTATCTCTCACGTGCGCACAGCAACTCATTCGCCACAAGCTAACTCTTCTGAACGAGTCAACCAAAGCATTTTATCAGCCATACGTTCATACTTAAAGGATAGTCAGACAGAATGGGATAAATATTTGTCAGAGATAGAGTGTTCTTTGAGATCATCGGTTCACTCCGCAATAGGTGTCACTCCATATTTCGCCCTTTTTGGAATGAACATGGTGAATCATGGTAGCGTATTTGCTCTAGCGCGAAAGCTTAAGGTTCTGCAGGATCCGGAGGCCAATGTCCTTCCACAAACAATAAAATTAGAAATAATCAGAGAGAAAATAAGAGAGAATCTCCACCGAGCATACCTAATAAATGAAAAAAAGTACAACGTGCGATCTAGGAATGTGAAATTTATACCGGGGCAGGAGATATATCGTCGTAGCTTTCAGCAAAGTGACTTCAAAAGGAACTTTAATGCTAAACTAGGACCTAAATTTGTAAAGTGCAGAATTGTTCGACCAATTGGAAATTGTCTTTATGAAATAGAGGATTTGAGAGGGAAATCCTTAGGAGTATTCCACGTGAAAGATTTGAAACAATAAGAAATGGTTTTTCTACCGCATCCCATAATAACAGAAGAAGTCCTCTCACGATCTGAATAACACCAGCAAAAATTTAATGTTTAATAATTATTCACGGAAAAATATTTTCCTTACGAGCTCATAGATTCATTTTCTCCTAAACTATATCTTTGTTATTATAAAGAAATAAAACGATTTTTCACTTACCGGCACAAATCCAAAAATAGATATATCATAAGATTACAGCGGCAAAGTAGAGATTTCTGCATGGTGGTTTTTACTCCTCATAGTTGGGCACAAAATCAGAATTTATTTGCTTTTCCACTTTAAAGTATAATCGCAACGTTGATTCGCCGTTAAATCCACAATCATTAACATTATTTTGTTTTGCTTTTATATTTCTTTTATGTTTTGATTCAAATTAGCCTTTGTTTTGATTTTGCTTCGCATTTGTTTTGATTCATTTCTTTCCTCACTTTCGTTATGTTTTTTTCCGTTAACCTTTTTGTGACTCTACACATGTACTCTTTATTCTCTCTCATAGCTGTATTTCACACTCTTTGATTTTACTACTCTTACACTTTTGCTTTTAAGAAATCATATCACAAGAAAAGTATGGTCGTATGCACAAATATTCCCACTATTACAACAACAGGAATAACGTAGGCTTTTAATTAATGAAAAAAACTTTTCTGATAGGCTTTTTTATTTAACAATGCTCAC